GCATCTGCTCCAGGACCCTGGAGAGACGATCGACTTCAGGGGTGTCCACATTGAAGCTCCGGCCTTCCTCAAGCAACTCTTCGATAGTCTCCATTGAGACGGTAGCTGTATTCTCGAGGGTACGGGCTGCGTTGAGCTGAAATTCCTTTATGGCTGTAGCTCGCTCCTGCAGTTGCCCGATTTCGGGACATTCAAATCCAATGTGCTCTGCCTCACGAAGCAGGCGATAAATGTTGCTCACGTTGCGGGACTCACGCTCTTTTTGGTCTTGATATGCGCTTCCAATTGATTTGCGCATGCTGCTCTGCCACGCCTTTTCGTTCTTGCGACGGTTTTGCTGTTTGCGCACAATATAGTTCGTAGCCTCTTCAACCCAATCGTTGCATCGATCGACGAATTCTTTTAGAATGAGTAGGGACGGAAGATCGAAGGGGACCCGTTCGCCTTCGTGGAGTAGGGCTCGAAGAGATTTTAGCGACGGGCTGGTTTCTTCATCAAGCATTTTGGCGTACTTTTCTTCCCACAGTTCCGGCGTCCGCGCTTTATCAACGACCTTTTCATACGTCTCCGCCATGGTCTCGTCAGTGACTCTGTAAATCAAGGCGTGGTCTTCGCCAGCGAAACGTTGCTCTTCGGCAAGGTCGCAACATGGGTGGTGCCCTGCATGCATGATGCAGACGGTTTTGCCGGTCCGTCCGCATTTGAACCTGGATAAAAATGCAAACGCTTTGCAGTAAGTACAACACTGTTCTTCCTCCTCGAGAACGTCACGCTCTTTGATTTTGAAGGTCAGGGGACAGCCACAGCCCTCTTCCCCAGGGCCGCTAATGGGACACTTGTGAGGAGAGGCTTCTATGTGTTTAGCAAGGAACTCGGCTCGTTGTTCCTGTTCGCGTTTTCGAATGCAATCCAATGCAGGTCCCAGCCACTTGGCAGTCTGTATTGATAAGCCGGTTGCTGCATTTCCATCTGCAGCGGTCCATAGAAGTTCGTCGTGCGAGAAGCATGGTTGTTTCCTGAAAAGTTGGAGTCGTTCGACTCCTGCAAGTCCGAACGGTTCCCAATCAGATGGTGCGAAATTCACTGCTTCATTGAAATTGAACCCGTGATTGAACCCGGCATGGTATGCCTGGGGAAATGTAATAACAAATTGTCCGGCACGTTGGTCAAGAGCGTAGACCCTCACACCCGCTTTCTTCAATTGTTCTGGGGTTAGCAATGTGACAAGCTGGAACAACAGATCTGGCTGCGTTTCAAACAACTCGGGAACAGCTTCCCTCATGGCGGCCTCAAACTTCTCTGCGTCCTCTCCCGGAATGCCGTACCACGTCTTCGTTGCTCCAAAGTGCTGGTAGTTGGCGGAGTAGGCATAATGATCCTCGTTATGCCAGCAGAAAGTGGAAAATATCATGCCTACGTATACCCAAGGCACGGTCATGCCGGAAATGTCTGACTTGATGTGACGGAAGAGGCTCTCAGGATGAAGGGGCAGAATGTTGAGATTCCATGGATCAGAGGCATACGGGTTATTTGGGTTCTTCTCCAGGGTCGGAAAACCCGAACCATGCGTAGTACAATGAATATCTGCACCATATTCCACTTCCACGGTTTCTTCCAGGTCTGCAACCAGCCTCCAGAACTCAGTTTCAACATCTTCCTCGGTGACAGGCCGAAGGCAGTTAAGCGTGTGATCGAATGGCATCTTCTTTTCAAAATAGCCCTGCTTGAAGTCATTTGCTTTCTGTTGAAACTGTTTCAGCGAGTAAAGACCGCCCTCTTCGAAGCCAAACTGGCCATCGCCCACGAGACACCTCGGGCAATTCCACTCTGCATCAGGCTTGCGCTTCACTGGAGGGTCCAGACAGGGTCCATGATAAGCATTATCACATGATTCACAGACGAGAAGAGCTCCGTTACTCTCTCCACGGCCGCAATTTTCACACCTCTCTCCTGCAGCCATGGTCTCGTCCTTTGGAATTCGTGGAATGGATGGCCGGAAAGGTGTCATGTGAGACCCAGCAACCGTGGGCACGGGTTCCCGTTTGAGGCGCTTGCTACGCCTGCTGCTGCTTTCACCATCTTCCATGTCAGTGTCTACATCCTTCTTGGTCGTGTCGTTCGAGTCTCCAACTTGACGTTTGACGGAGGCAGCCGGATTCAGGCCAGACCGGGCGTCAGGTGTATTGCTAGCAGAGGTCGCCGGGCTACCCAGTCGCTTGAGATCTGGTGTGAAGCTTCTGCTCTCACTGTTGGCAGATTTCGAAGCAGCGTTCACTGGAGTGAATCCGTTGGTATTGATGGCCTTGAACCCTCCCGTCGCAGCAGATGTGGGAGCTGGTGGAGGGGCATCAAGCATGGGAGTGTCGCGGTCAGTCTCTCTTTTTAAGCCATTTAAACTTCCCTGCAAGACATCTGAAGCCTGTCTGGCTGGTGAGTCGCCCTTCACACTGGATGGAGTGTTGACGTGAGACTTCTTGGCTGGCGTGTGCGCCGGGCTAGGAGTCAATGGTCCTCCGTATTCTTGCTCTAGCTGTTGATGCACACCTGGCTTGGCAAGTCGTAGGTATTCTTCGTAGGGGCAGAGCCATCGCTGATATGAATTTTTCAGGGAAGTTGAAAGCGATGACATAATCTTGCCACTGTAGCCTAAATCTCGTCCAATTTCTGCCCATTTCTTCAATTTGCAGACCTTATCAAAGCCGCCGCGGGATTCGACGGCCTTTTTCAAGCGGTACAAGTCTAGTGGTTTTTTATCGACATATGGCAATCGGTGTAAATTGCTGCCTTGCTGTTTGTGAAATTTGGAGAGGCCATCAAGATAGGTGAGGCTGGCTCGAGTGCCTACAAAAGTTAGGTAACATGGTTCTGCGATTGATTTCATGGCCTCTGACTTACTGCCTTCTACAGAATTAAGCTCCTGCTTTCGAGTTCGGAAATGAAATTTCTATGGGTAATGTTAGTTTTGTGAGTCGGCACATGCCATCCGCTAGGGTAGGATTAGTTCCGATCGACGTACCTCTGTGTCAATGGCAAAATCAGGGTTCCATGAGTCTGGCGGGATAATCTTGCATATACCATACTGCGAGGCCTCTGGCGTGATCTTCTTCATATACTCCAAGGGATCCCGCCACTCCTCTTCGGTCGGACAGTAGGTAGGGGCTTCGGATATGCCATGCGGGCGTGACTTTTTCTGAAGAGACTCGCGCACCGCCGTCGGCTGGCCGCGGCGTTCGACCGAGGTCAGATCCAGTCCTATGCTGGCCATAGAGCTCAGAGGGATCTGCGAATTGGCGGGATGGTAGCCATTCGTGTTCACTTTACGCTTCGGTCTTGACGATGCCTGGGTCGCCGACGATCCGGTGGCAGGCGAATTGCGAGAACTGACATTGGCGCTATTTGCACCGGGGGTTGTCATTGTGGCCGTCGACATTGGTGCCATGGTTGAGTCCAAGGGGGCCCGAGGAGGGTGATGATCAGGCCAGTAGCCGGTGTGGAGGCACACGCGAGGAGGGAGGTAGATAAAAATGGTTTCGCTTGAATATGGATTCGAGTGAAAAGAGGAATGTTCCGTAGTCGTTGCTCAAGCGGCGTGCCTAAGAGTGACTGACTGCGTGCATCGTAGCGATGGCGACATGTACTCGACAGGCGTATCGATTACAAGTTTACGCTGTAGCATACAGGAACAAGTCGGCTCCGAGAGAGATCAAGGAAATAATTGGATTCGGTCGATGGAAGACAAGGCGAAAAATAGCCTCGGGGCGTACCTGCACAGTCGTGATTAACTCGTGGGCCACGAATTGGAAAAAGGGTTCAAGCCGACACACACGATCACTGATATGCCTCGCACTAATACAAAATCATGCGACTTACGGTTATAAGAGACCGAACAAGCGGAAAGCTTGCATGCGAGGAATAAAATTAGCGACGGAAGGCACCTCTAGGGCAGAGTAAAGACCGGCGGTTGGAGTCGAGAAATCATGTGGCCTCGTGGGTCGTGGGTCGAGTGTAGATGTTGGTGTGAAAGGGAAGACGGCAGAACGAGGGATGGGTCGCGGTTCCAGATGCGAGAGTCTGAGGGTGTGTGTGAGAGCGAGAGAGAGCGAGAGGCTAGAGGTTAACGACCTTGGGGCCGGGGTGGGGCTGCACCTGCCCGTCTTTCCTGCTGGGGAGGGAAACGGACATGGGAAGGACCAGCCAGTCGACGACTCAGTCAACTAGACCACCAGGCAAGCCAGGGCTGTGATGGCTCAAGTCCAGTGCGCACACCTTATCGGCGATACAAGTATCCGTCACACGGGTTCTGCCCTATTTTGTGTGTGACTAGAGGTATCCATACTTGGTCATGCTTGGTCTGGATATAAAGTGGACCCGCGCCGGAGGATTGGAAGACCCGCTTTTGTGAAGCCGATGAGAGCGGCGATTCTCTCACCTCGCCGTCGCAGGCTTACATGACACATGTTCCGCATCTTGTTATTCGCTTTGATCCATCAGGACGAATGTGCAAGGGTGGTGATGGCGGAGGGGACTGAACCAAGGGAAATATCGTACGCGAATGTACGTCATTGCGACATGCTGTCTGCGCCATGTATTATCCTACGGCTATGTTGGCCTACCGTCCCATGAACCGCTCGGCCCGCCCATCCACTTGCCTCAGACCTATCATGCACAATCTGGGGAATAAATACTAGTACATGCATATGTCAATATTTTACTAGTAGTACTAGTATCCGCATGCCCTGTCTGCAAATGACCAGGCTACTTGATATTCTATGGCGAGAATCCCGAGTTGGCTGGTATTTCGACGCGGCAGCAGCAGATTGGCATTGCTACCATGAGCACCTCTTTCGACCAAGAGCTGAGAGTTCTTGTTGTCGCCTGATCAAAAGTCAATCATCTCGGAGGCGCCGCCCAGCCAATTCGGCGATGCAGACCTTGGACGTGGCGTGTGTTCTTGCTTGACTACACAGACGCATGAGCCCCGACACAAAATGCTCAAAACGCTATATTGCAGCTATCTTCTTCGCCTTCTCTGCCGCCTTGACCAGTTTCTGAACATCCTTGTTTCCACGCACACGCAAACTCAGTTCCTTCACCATATCACCCCATCTGACAGGCGCCCCACATGACGGGCATGAGCATCGATCAGGTATAATGTGGGTGGTATTTTCTCCAGAGAGTGCATGCTTGCCCCAACAGTCCAGATGTCCCATGGCTTCGCATTTGTCGTTTGGACACATGCCGTGCAGGCCCTTTCCTGACTCGAGCTCTTCTGCACAGTGAACGCAGTTGCCCTCTTGCTCAAAGTTCACCACATTGTGCGCCTTGACCACATATTCCGCCATCGGGCTATAATCCACCGGCAATGCGTTAATGCCCCCCGAAGATGACGAAGAAGCAAAATCGGTAAGAATCTCAAGGCCGTCTCGACTAGGTTCCTGCGTGGCTTGTATCCTAGACTCCCACGCAGTATAGGCTTCCCTTGCAAGAAAATGCACATTCAGTGGCCACCTCACAAAACTCGGCACACCCGTAAGCAGATGGATGTTCGACGTGATCGACTTCAAGCTGTGCAGTGGCCGTCTTGGCATGCCATTCTTCTTTCTTTGTGTTGAAATGCTCACACGTGTTTCATCGGGGATGTGTAAAGAAAGATGGGGATTTGTCAATGCCCACCTGATGGGACGGTCAGCAGAAGGTGCGTGATATATGCAAGATTCTCTGCTCTTGATGAAGAATCGGGCCAGGGTGGAAGCTGTGTAGGGAAAGACAAGCCTTACTCGAATTTGAGCGCCGCAACCATACTAGGAAACCCAGAAACCAAGACGATCATTTCCCAAGGGCGCAGATTATCACGCGATGTGCGCGCCGCGCCACCTTTAGACTCGCCATTGTGTTGCTTCAGACGACGTGGCGGGTTCGGTGTTGAGCCAATGTACAGAGACGCGTGTCTTACGGTTGAGCGAAGGACGTAGACCGTGTATAACGCCGGAAGAGGCTTTGCGATATGACTCATGCCTGGCGATAGACAATCTTGAACATCACGGCATTTTAGGGCGCCGCATGTCTAAGTTCTTAATGATGTCCTGGTCGTGGTGTCTGCTTTCTTAACGGCTGCAAATGGCCAAACTAACTCGACTGTGTTGTCAGGGGGCCGGATGCCTGAGGAGCTTCCGCGTGGGCCAATAGAAGTTGTCGCTTGCCGCCGCCGGCACCATTCTCTCCCAACGCGTGAGAACAACTCTCAGCGAACAACAAACACCGTGCATACGTCAGAGGCCATCAGAGTGCTTGTGGACACGCAGTAATTCGACCTTTACGAATGGCCCAATACTGAGGGAAATCGGACTGGGCTTTACAATCCTGAATTCGAGGCGACCTCTGGCGTATCGATAATACAAATTATGCACCATCACGTTGAATCGCGCTAATCCTAACCATGCAGGCTTTGAAAAAAAAATCGTGCGATTCTACAGCCTTCCTTCTTTCCTCTGGACCACCTATCTACTCCGGCAAAAATCAGGATTGCCAAGACCCGGTCATTCATCCCTTGGCATTTGCAGTTTGACACGGAGCAACGCTCGAATTTCTTCTGGCGACTTGGATACCAGAGCATGATACCCGTGTTGGCTCAGCGGGTAGAGTACTGCATTCTCATCCTTCTTGACCGCATCTTCCGTTGACTGCGGCGAATGGCTCATTATTATATCAATATCCTGCCGAATCTGCTCGCAGAAGCCCTCGAGCGGCAAATCGTTTACGTCGTCTCCAAAGGGATTCTCGATTTCCCGCCCAATAAGGGCAAGCCCCAGGATGATGTATGCCGCGAAAATCGTTGCGGGGATTGTTGTCCACTTGAGATTGTCGACCAGCTGGAACGGCAGGATAAGGATGTACGCCCATGTTATTTGGGCAATGGCAATCGAGTAAGCCAGCGGCAACGGGGTGTTGAGGATTCGCTCTGTTCCGTTGAGAATGTCGTTGACTTGTGCCAACAACCCCATGGCTGACGTGTGACAGCCCGGCGTCTTGAGCGTCCCGTTGTCGATAATGGCCTGGATAAACGCCGAGCAAGAGCTGTGAATCTCCAGCGGCACATTGCCCAACGGCTTGGCCGGGTTCTTCATGAGTCTTCGAGGATTCTGCTCTGCCATGGGAAACCCGAGGAACAGGCCTATTGTCTCCCATCTGGTAGGTTTCTCCCACTCTTTCTTCTCGGCCTCGTGTGCCACTATCGGCAAATGCCCGGTCCTGCTTTGCAGGTCGTCGTAGTGCGTGAATGGCTCGTGGCGTAGTCGGTGCTTCAAGGCGAAGCTGAGTGAAACCAGCATGTTGCAAAATGTAACTTTGGCCAGTAGGTCTTCCGTCTGGCACTCCTCACGCTCGCTCGCATGGACCCAGACAAGTCTTGCCAGACTTTGCGTCACACTGGCTAGCTGAGACCAGTACTTGCGCCCCTCGTTGTATCTCTCGTAGGCAGTTGAGTTTCGGAAAGATAGCGACAGACCGACGACGAAACCGAGAACCGTGAGAAGAACCTGACTGACGCCGACTGCACATCATTAGCCTTTATTCTTTTTGCCCTTGAAGAGACACATGGCTACATACTATGATAAACTCGACGCGAAATTATCGTAACACAGCTTGCCCAGGCAGCCACAAACAAGAGTGGGAATATCATGTATGGCAAAATACTTCCCCGAAGCCGCAGAAAATGAGGCCACCTCGAGTGATGATTAAGGTCTCGAGGCCCATACTATTCCATGTTAGCCTATACATGCCTCAATTTGCCCATCTTCCAAAAATAAAATAAAACAGTATAGTTGTACTCACAAACAAGCCCTCAAACTTATCATCCTCAATCTGTGCATTGTGATGCGAGCCACTGCCGGGCGAATCGTTCGCCTTGTCCGCCATCGAGTCCAGCTCAATCCCAACAACAGAATCGCCCAAAGAACCGTTCCTCGATGGGAGCAACTTCCTCTCAGAACCTGGAGACATGCCCCCTTTTAACAACGGCCGTAATGGGCTGTGTCAATGAAAAAAACTGTCTCGACACCGGGGGGAGAGGTGATGAAGGAAACTACACCGCGCATTTTAATTAATACGTTCCATGGGATCGACGCCAGGCAGCACAGCCATCGGAAATCTGCCGAGCGTCAACTATGTCAACAAGAAACCCTGCAGCATAGGGTCGAGTCACGATGGAGTCAATCCTCCGCCCTGCGGCAGTGCCCGCATAATAGGACCATGGACGATATGTGATCAACGACGAGTGCCGAGTGAGTTTTCCAGGGATCACCCATTCCGATCCTTTCCACGGGTCTTGATCATTTATTTTGCGCCCTCCTTAGGTCTATCGTCAATTCTGATGTATCGTTCTATCGACCAGGGAAATTGTTGATCGTCCGTTGTCAAAGTGGGTAAGTCGCCCGAGGCGCAGGCTCGTGGCCAAAGCACAACTCACCGCCACAGCTCATGTTTCGGGCAAAATTTCGACGGCCCAATGCCATAGGGTAGGTATTCATCGGTTTCATTGTTGTTCTCCCCCCTGAAGGATTGTTTCGAAATTGTTCGAAATATGATACATCGGTTTTGTCTTGCCTATACTACGTCGCGTTCTTCTACTACTTACATTACACACTGTATAGATGATAGCTCCCCTGGTCTTTACAGCAACCCTTGCTTTTGTAGATCATAGTACACTTTTTCGGGCATCACGTTGCCCTCTCCGTCCTCCATTTGCACGACACTGCCTTCATCCAGCTTCGACTTCTTTTTCTCTTTCTGCATCTTCTCCCAAAGCTTGACGGCCTCGTCCATCTTGGTGATGTCCCGGAATAGGGTCGGATTGGTAATGCCGAGACATTTGAGGTTGTAAATATGGCGAGACTCGTTGAAATGCTTCTCGAATGCTCGTCGGCCCTTGTACACGTAGTTGCCGCAAATCTCGCAGGGAAACTCTACGCCCAACCCGTGCAGTCGGTACAGCCAAAAGGGGATCGGCTTGCCGTCCCAGCCTAATGGAACTTTGAGAGGGTTGTAGATCTTGTCTTCGTCGTCGTCGCCCTCTCCTTCACCGTCTTCAGCGGCTTCTCGTGGCGTGTCGGAAGCGTTGAGAAGATTTTCAAGTTCCTGTTCTCGTTCGCGTTTTGTCATGCCTTGTTTTCGTTCGACGTTGACGCGGGTATCGCTTCGTTCCGTATTCATCAAGCTAGCCATCTTTTTGACTCGGTATTCACGCTCGGCAATGGCCCTCTCCTTTAATCTTGCCGATGAAACGACAACTGATTTCGAATCTGCTGACCCCGCCGCAGCATCTTGCTGCCGTTGTTTACGTTGCTCAGCTGCCTTGATGTGTTTTCGCCCAGTTAGGTGGTTCTTGTACACGTTTTCGTTTTTAAACTCCTTCTCGCAGTCCTCGCACCAGATAGCCTCGGCGTCGGTCAGAGTCGCTTTTGAGCCGTTTGTTGCTGACTCGATCTGCCAGCCCTCAATCTCATCCTTCTCCCAAAGCTTGCCGAACTCTTCGTCAAAGCCTGATAAAATGTTGTCCGGATTCTCTAGAGGGCGCGTTTTTCGCATGAAATCTTCGAGGTATTGCGCAAGTTCTCCAACATAGTTGAAATACTGATCCGTCATCTTGTCGCCTCGTTTGACTCCACCATACCCAGCAGCAAAATTGTCAAAATACTCCAAATATTGCAAATATGTAAGTCGCTTGACGTTGGGTAGATTTGAAAATGAGTCATAACATGTATGCAAGTCGAAGAATCGCCCAAATGCTTCTTCTCCGGAGAAAATTGTGTCCACAACCGTCGCGACAGGCGCGGACGGGTCGCCTCTCTTTTGCTTATATCTTTGTTCCGAGTTTTCCGCTTGCTCGTTGGGATATCTGGCATGGTGCTCACGAATGTCGCCAAGTTGTTTGTAAAATGCATCAAAGGGATCGCCAGTGTTGAGTTCTTGGAGTTCTCCTGCTCGGGTTCCGTTCTCGTCTTTGTACAGGTTCAACAGGCTACTTGACTGTCTCTGGATCTGGTCGAGGAGTTGGGCAATTTCATGGTCTCGGTTTAGTCGGTCGCGAATCTTTTTAATAAATCAGGTTAGTTTGATTCGGTGAACTATTTCACGAATGCATTTACTCACAGGCTTTGGCTCCTCGCGAACGCGATCAGCGATGCCTTGTTCCAGGCGTTCAAGATCTTCATGAATGTATCTTTGCTCTTCTAAAACATACATCTTGACAGCCGCTATTGATACGCTTGTGATGCTATGGTGGGCTGTCGCGACAAAAAAAAAGCGGAAAAGATCTGGTCGCGAAGTCGTAGAGCTTTTGCCGCTTCAGCCAAAGTTTGGCCAGCCTCGTTAAGCCCAGCGCCACTGTGGAGGCGGACAATCCGCGCTCTGCCGAAGTAAACCCGGCCCTTTCACCAGCTCCCGAACTTTTTTTGTTCAAGCTCATCTCGACATCATAGCGCATTGCCGTTTTATCCCATCTTCGCAATCACACATATTACCAATAAGATGGCTGAAGGCGCCGGAGGAATTGACCGCAAGGCGGATGAGAGGATGGAATTTTCCACCTCCAAAGAAGTCACCGTCCACCCTACTTTCGAGTCGATGTCTTTGAAGGGTGAGTGACAACCAGCAGGAGATGACTTGTCGAGTCCCAACGAGTAACGACTGATATCGAAACATAGAGAACCTTCTTCGTGGCATCTATGCGTACGGCTATGAATCCCCATCTGCCGTCCAATCCCGAGCCATCGTCCAAGTGTGCAAGGGACGCGACACAATCGCACAAGCACAGTCAGGCACTGGCAAAACGGCGACCTTTTCGATTAGTATGCTGCAGGTCATCGACACTGCCGTGCGCGAAACACAGGCTCTAGTCCTTTCACCGACCCGTGAATTGGCTACTCAAATCCAATCCGTCGTTATGGCTCTTGGTGACTACATGAACGTCCAATGCCACGCCTGCATTGGTGGCACCAACGTCGGCGAAGATATCCGCAAGCTCGACTATGGTCAGCATATCGTGTCGGGGACCCCTGGACGTGTTGCCGATATGATTCGGAGACGCCACCTACGAACAAGGCACATCAAGATGCTAGTACTGGACGAAGCCGATGAATTGCTTAACAAGGGCTTCCGGGAACAAATCTACGATGTCTACAGATACCTGCCCCCGGCAACACAAGTCGTGGTTGTCAGCGCCACCCTGCCATACGACGTGTTGGACATGACAACCAAGTTCATGACCGACCCTGTCCGAATTCTTGTCAAGCGTGATGAGCTGACCCTCGAGGGTCTGAAACAGTACTTCATTGCCGTGGAGAAGGAGGATTGGAAGTTCGATACCCTGTGCGATTTGTACGATACCCTGACCATTACACAAGCCGTCATCTTCTGCAACACGCGCCGCAAGGTTGACTGGCTCACCGACAAGATGCGCGAGGCCAACTTCACCGTCAGCAGCATGCATGGCGATATGCCGCAAAAGGAACGGGATAGCATCATGCAGGACTTCCGGCAGGGCAACAGTCGAGTCCTCATCTCAACCGATGTTTGGGCCCGTGGCATCGATGTGCAACAAGTCAGTCTAGTTATTAACTACGACTTGCCTAGCAATCGTGAGAACTACATCCACCGCATTGGCCGAAGTGGCCGGTTCGGTCGCAAGGGCGTAGCCATCAACTTTGTTACGACCGAAGATGTGCGCATCTTGAGAGATATCGAGTGTAGGTCAACTCAGCCTTTTAATACTATCGCAGTGCTAACATGTCGTAGTGTATTACTCAACTCAGATTGATGAAATGCCCATGAACGTGGCTGATCTCATTGCATAATTCGGGCATAAATAGCAAATGGATATAATCTACATCAGAATCTCTATCAAAGAAGAAGAGCAAGTCAATGGCCTTGGCATGGAAGGAGTGCCAGGGAATGGAGTGGAGGAATGGGGCCTTGTAGTGTACTAGGTGAGTTCGAGTCAAGTTTCCTTGCACTCCTATGTCATGGTTGAGCTAATGAGCATGGAGGTGTAAAATTGTTTTCGGGGGTTCAGGTATATCAGGGCAGGGAGTTGATGCGGCGAAAAGAGCCATTTCCCTTTATATGCTGCTATATTTATTTATGAGTGCCACCCACTGGCTCAGACCTTTGGCTCAAAATAGTTAGTCCAGCAAACCTATTACAACCTGTCATTCAAAATATACGGAATAATGCCTTGGGTCTGGTCTGCATATATCTAATCTCGCCCCACGATACTCATGGATGCGGCCGCCAGCGGCTGCATCTGCATCATCATTGCAACAGCCCGTCGTGACACTTTCAATGTGAAGTGATTTGGAAAGTCATATGCACTCTGCATGGTTGCTTCTCGGTCCGGTGGCTGCAACAAGTTGTGCCTGAAATGCTGAATACTTTTGGCGCGTTATCGCCCAAACTTGGGTTAAACTGGCTGTGTTCACACAACTGTGCAACAAAGAGATTCAGACAGCGACCATATCGGTTTGATGCCGAAAATGACATCTGAATGCCACAGGACAGGAGCAGAACGCCACGAATACTTGACTGCAACGCAGAAAATGGGTTGAACAGTATGTAAAGTCGAGACATTTTGGCAACATGTCATAAAGTGCAGCATGACCAAACTACTTCCCTTTGCCCATCAAAAGGCTCACTCTTGGCGAGATCTTCTGTGAGTTCTAATCGACAATTTCTCGCTCCAAACGGCAACTCAGCCTCCCGCCTTCCCAGAACATACGCACAAACGATCACCAATAAACACCGGCAATATGGTTCCTCTACCCTCTTGACAGAAAGCGTACGCTGCACTGGAAATGCACACGGCCTACGCAGAAAAAGGTCGAGTGTAGGAAAAATATGTGCATGAAAAAGATGTTGCTCATATTGCAATCAGGGAAGAGATGATGGGACCCTCGCGCTCGATAAAAACCAAGTTGTTATTGGCATTTCTATTAAGAATCAACTGCTAGGTTATTTCGGTAGTAGAACCCCTGGGGTGTGTTGAACGGGCCCCAAGCATAAAGTACCCAACGTTCCGGCTTGGTACATGTCCGTGGTGTATCCGATTATACAATAGACGGCGACAAAAGGGTCTGGTTGCCAACAACGCTAGCAACCGCGCTAAAACACTTATCGAGGAACAAGCGCACTAGAACAACCCACAGGAGATAGTTGATATACCTACTAAGAGATGGGGGAAGAGGCGGGGCCTTTGTAGTAGAACGACATCGCTGGATCGACTAACAATTGCTATTGACAGGAGTCGATTTGTTGCTGCTGTTGCTCTGGCCGTTACAAGGCTTATGTATATAGCTCCTAACAAACAGACTCGTGCAGACCGCAATATTTACCATGACGACTACGATGTCAACTGGTAGGTTAAGAAAACCAGGTAAACAAAGGCCAGGGCCCGTGGATATGGGGACCAGAAGGAGAAAGAATAAATAGGGTCAAGTTCATTCTTGTTGCCACCGACAGGGAAATATGGTCCCAAAGTCCAAGTTCCGTTGGGCACCAAGCCTCGCGCAGAGAACATGAGCCACGGTGTGGTTAATTTACCCTCCATGCCAGTGCTTCCTTCCCCCAAGACCGTTCCTTCCTTGGTAACCATATGCATCATCCCCATCGCCTTGACTCCGCAGTTGAACGCCGGCAAACGAACGACTACTGTGGCCGAAGTTGGTGTCTCCTTTGGCTTCGACATATACGACAGCATCACAACATACCTCGATGCCGTCAAATGCCGCAGTGAGGAGCTCGCTTCTGTCAGAGAAAGGAACAAAGCTCTCAAAAACCTCCTCACCGGACGTCTCACCGGAATCAACTAGTCGCTGTTTCGCGTACGCACCCAGCAGGTGCCTCCGACAGCAGCCGTGGCAGAATGCCTCATCTCGTTCGAAGCGGAGCTTGAAGCTCTGGAGGATTTAGTGGCAAAGCTGGCAGGCCGTGACGCGATAGAGCCAAAGTGGGCAGAGAAGATAGGGAGCAAGCCAAGAAGCTAAGCTACGCTTTTAATTGCCAGAAGCTTCAGCCACTTGAAGTGCGCCTGGACCAGACAACATCAGCCTTGCACCTTGCCATGCAGAAGACAAGGCGCTGTGGCCGCATCCCCCTCCGGCCGTACAGCCATTCACCACCCAAGGAAGCTGCGTAGAAAGCGCATCACTCAACAAGTCGATGAGTCCGTCCCGGGGAAACGACCATTCTCTCGAAAGAAGCGCAATGCAACACTGGCAGACAGCTTAGTACGGTGACGCCATCAGGACAACTTGCTAATGCGAGGCCAAGCCGCTAAATCTCACTATTTCTACTCTTGTCCTCCCAAGAAAGTGCATGTCTAGAAGTGCCAAAACCTGGGGCGTGGACCGGGCCGTACGAGCACAAAATGATGACGCCAATCTGCAGCAGGAAGTCATAAAAATAGATCGTTTTTCTCATATGATGAGGCCAAGAGGGCCAAGGTATTAGTAACACTAAGAATTAAGTTGCCCCTTTCACGGGGACGCTAAAAAGTTTAGAATACACGCTTATCAGGCTGGTTAGGGGGCCAGCAACACGCGATAATCCACGAAGCGAACATTAGCAAAAATCACGCCCACCACCCATCTACCGAGGCTGAGGGGGAAACATGCAGACCCCGTCGCGGACGTCCGTGCAGCAATCCACGACGGACTCGTCCCCCCTCGTCCTGCCCTTCGCCCACTTCGCAAACAGCGCCACGTCCGCACACATGTACGGCAACAGCTCGTCTTTCTCTCGGTACAGCAGCTGCGCTATCCCCTGGGCGCGTACTCTCCGTGGACACACGTAAAACGTCCCGTTGCTCCCGTACACAAGCTGCGGCCCATCTTCCCGCGGGACGATTCTGACTCCGGGCGTCCCCCTCCTGCAGTCCATGCTGAGTGCGCGTTCGCCGTGTCCTCCCTTTGGAACGGATAAAGTCTTCATGTCTTCGCCATCACCGTACGCGATGCCCGTCGTCTCCGGGTTGAACCAGAACGTGGTGCCGCTGGCCGTGCCGTTATTGCTAGGCTTCTTCAGCGAAAGGGGCTCATGGCAGCCGGGCCCCGGCAGTGAGGCCACCTCCCAGTTTCCAATGCCGGCCGTGAACTTGGTGATGTTGGGAGACTTGACATGCGCTATGAGGTGGAAATTTCCCGAGAGCGCAGGAAGGTCCGGAGGCAATGTAAGCTGAGTGATCGATGTTGCGAGGAGGAAGGAGTTAAATTTCGTCATGTTTCTTTCCAAGTGAAGCTCAAGACGCAGAATGTTGATGGAGAGTTTATGATCTTCGCATTCAATCCAATTCCTATCCTAGGTACCTAGGTAGTTACGTGATACCACCGTTTTCTTGTTGCTCCGTGATAAAGCGCTTTGATAACGATTTGACGTCACGCGGGGTGTGAACCCCCCTTGGAATGAGCAAAGTAGTGCGTTTATATCCCTTGCAGAATGGTGAACGGCCGCCAAATTTCCTACAAAGGAAGTAGTCTGAGTCGTCTTAAATTGACCAGCCGTCACCGTCACCGTTGCAGTTGGTATTTGGAATTCCTGCTCACTCTCTACCTCGCCATGCAGCAGCAATTGTCGCTTGTACGTGGTCAATCTCATGGCCATGAAGGTTTCTGGTCCAGAAGTATGCCCGCATGCTCCTTTTGGAGGAGCATGTTTAAACGCAGTCTTCTAGGTATGAAAAGTGCGGTTATGGAATGGGCTTGTGAAGAAAACAACCCTGTTCCGGGCGCTCAAGATTAGCGCCCTGGGCATCGGCGGCCGAGTATGAAGTTCTACCTATGTCATGTCTGTGAGTTTACTCGAGTTGTGTCAGAAATCAAACTGGAAGTGGCATTTATTTAGGCGAAAATTGAGCTGAACCGCTCTTGCGTGATGCAGGGAGTTTGGCAGAAGCAAAAAAGGGGATGAAAATGTGGCGGCAAGGGTCCGTGCCCGCTGTCGTCCCATGTTTCGTTACAAAACAGCCCAGTTGACAGGGCTGATCTCTTCGGTGGCCTAGATGATGTTCTATCGACAAGAACACAGGTGAGTGAGCGAGCCCAATGGCTGGGATGGCTGAATGATGGATTGAACTGCCACCCTGTTTGTTGAGACGGCTGAGTATCCAACTCGATATGTTGATGCCCCTGACAAGCATCAACCCGTTTATCTAAGATTGGAGCAGTGTTTTCTCGGTGGCGTCATGGTGCCTTGCATGGTGTTCACATGGCCACCAAGCCATGTAAATGCCGGTCTAGTCTGCTCCTTGCGACGTACTGTACATACATACATAAGCACTCGGGATGGCATAACTTACATGTCTAGGGGACAGGCATGCGACGGAGTACCAGATCCAAAGCAAAATGCAGTTGCCGATTTTTCGCTCAACCGTGGGCCACCGGCCGCCGGCTCCCGCTGCACGTCTGGGAACTAGCCGTTCGCCTGACAACTAGCTCCGAACTCTGGGCTGAACTAACGAGGCCCAGGTAAAGATGGAGGCATGCAGGGTCTATTGGTTCGCTGCTGCGGGAGGATTTGGGGTTTTATCGGACGACTTGTCTGGTGCCGAGAGTCTCGGACCATTCTCTTCAACAAGACATGCTATGCGATGGCATCCCTGAACGACGAATTTTTCATCGCTGGTCAAGGTCGCCATCTGGTTGGTCCTGGTTGAGTAAACGTGCAAAATGCAAAGTCAGATGTCGGGTCCGTTTTTTAGTGTATGTACAATGCATTTTGCTAGGATTCGGGGTGTTGGGGATGTTGGGATTGTAGGTGCGGCAGTTGTAGGGAGTTCAGAGCAAAGCATTTCAACAGAAACCACGAGTTCGGCCAAGGCGTGATGGATTTCTAGGAAAGGAAGGAGCCATCTTGTCCAATGCGGAAGCAGACACCCACACATGCATCTTGAATGGAACCTTTATTTCTCCGTACTTGAGCAACCCAGGAGAGGCGCGCATATGCTCCATAGCACGTAGCCTACAACACGTTCCAATCTCAATTCTCGGTGCTTGTCTACATCGTGTATCGTGTGCGCCATCAATGCCGGCGCATGGCCTGGGCCACATGGCTGCCACTGCTCGGTACACTTGCCTGTCTGCTTACCTGCACCACCAGCAGAGCACTATGATCAGCATCACCTGCACCACATCCTTGCGTCAGACATGCAGCTCGGAATGCATCTCGGAACATTGACAACGACAACCGTTGTACATTACTACCTGCACATTAACCGTACATTACCTGTACATTGGCTGCGGGTCGTCTCATGCACCTCTCGGTCAATTGGCAACCAGATGGTCATGTAACACATCGCAATGGCCAGTGAACAAGGTTTGCCCTCAGCCCTGAATGCTTGCTCGAGGTCCTTTCATCATTCAGAAAGTCTCGGCTCTCCTCATGTTGCATACCTACCTACTTAGAGGTATTGAGGTAGGTAGGGACTTGACCTAGTGGGCAGTGTCGGGCATTCCACCACGGCGAGGACCACAGACAGCCGAGAGGGAGAAGGCGGGCTGATTCATCGTTGGACGCCAAGAGAGCGCGGCTGCGAGATCAATGTCTCCTGCACGACGCATCGAGTCCTTCTCTACATTCAGAATTAGGCTGGGCCCCGCGACTGGCCATGGCCGTTTGGATGGCAGTTTGCCACTTGGGCACTGGGCAGGGCCTAGGCGTTACACAAGATTCTTGTTTCCACCCCAGAATGCTTGTTGTGCCTGTGGCAGTTTGCTCATCCAGACCCACGGAGCGGAGCGTACATTCGGAGTAGACCCTGACCCATTTCTCCTGGATTTCGAGATACGGGGTATCCATCCGCCATCTAACAACACAGGGGGCCTAGGCACCAGCCATTTTGGCTCTATGACCAACGGCCGCAAAACCGCACCGACTGCACTGACTGACTCGAGGGGAATAGGTAGGGCAACACATCCTTCTCAAAACCGTTGATCGACGGTCGCTAACCAGGGCATGGAAATCTAGGGCAGCCACTTGGGCTAGCATGAGGTGTTGCTGCTGCCCAGGCCACAGCAAATTATACCTTGACTCGACCCCATAAATTGCAGTGCCCTTGCGGCTGCTGCCAGACAACGACACAGCCGACACAGCCGAGAGACCAAGACGAAGCAAATGAATCAAGGCGCATAGTACTACTCCGTACACTGTACAGCGACATAGCCGCTTGACCTACGACGGCTGCCAAAATTGGACATTTATAAATTTTTCAAGTGAGATAGCTGCGAATTTGGTTAGCTTCGGGGCAATACTTGGAAAGCCCCAAACCCTCCAGGCGCGGTTGGTCCAGCACCAATCGGCGTTACATCCGTGCAGAACCAGCCTTTAACCTTGGTAAGCAAATCACCATACTACTCCGTACGGAGCACTTGGTGGTGGACCGACCACAAATCCCAGCTAGGACAGACTTCTGGGACAAGCCACTGAGCTGCCTGGTTCATCGTTCAGTCCCCGCCTAGACCCCTGCCCTCGTTTCTCAAGTTGCTCGACGTCCTAGGAGCCTTCGCCGCCACTTCAAAAGCATCCGTCTTGCTCGCTCACTCCTGGTCCAGAACGTCACGGTCATTAATTCGGTTCGATTTTACCTGGCTCGCGACTCGGACAACCTTGGATTGAGTGCATCTGTTCAACGCACCACAAGATCCCTTGACAATAATAACCCCGCGAGCATAAAGTGCGCCATCGTCCAGCATATCTGCAATCACGGCACGATCTGTCACTTGTCACCTGCGGCTCCTGAGCCGAGCAGAGCTCTCCCCGCACCCTGCCCCTCATCGGCCACCTGCGAGTGTGCCTGGTTGAGTTCTGCCCTTCGTATCAGATAACTAGCCAACCACAATGGGCTTCTTTTCTCGAAAGGACAAGGCCCCCAAGGGTAACTCATCCATTCTAGCTTCTCAGTCAACAACCAGCGTTGCCTCTGGAAACTCACGAGGCATCGGAAACCGCACCTCAGCCGGAAGTTTCACGTCAGCAGGCACACCGCTATCACCAATGTCGCCGATCAAGTTGCCCAAAGTCGATCTTCCTCGACCCCCGGATCCTCAGTTGGACCCTGTCGGATACCTCCGCAGCTTAGGTGCCGTGAGGGAGAGGAGCAAGATTATCATGGACAAGGCGACGCGCAACGAACTCAATCACTTTGATGTTGATCTCGCCAAGTTGCCCAATGTCGTCACCTTTGTTTCTGGCCTAATCAAGGTATGTTCATCACTACAATACATGTTTTACCTGTTTCCCCGCACGCATCATCTCCCTTTTTCCCCCGGAGATGGCCGGTGTCATGACGTTTTCCACAACCCCTCTTTGGGAAATATGGTCTGAACATAAAATCCGAATTAACATGGGTCACAGCGGGACTACGAGGCACCTTTTAACACTATACCCGGGCATGGACGATATCAGCATTTTTGCGTCGGCGATCGTGATCGCGTTAAGGAGTTGCTCGATTCCTGGCCAGAGTCTGTTGACAGCACCGAGCGTTGTCGTCGACTGATTGACCTGTTCTTGGTCAGCGTACTGTTGGATGCTGGTGCCGGTACTCAGTGGAGCTACAAGAGCACGGAGAATGGGAAGATTTATCGACGCTCCGAAGGGTTGGCCGTCGCCAGCTTAGAAATGTTCAAAGAGGTACGGATGTCCACAGCCGTTCAATTTGGCAAGTTGAGCGGTCAAGGCTGATGACTACTCAAGGGTCTCTTCTCCGGAAATGCAAGCAACAAGTTCCAAGTCGACAAAGATGGACTCAAAGCCTTGACTGTGGAAAAGCTTGAAGCAGGGCTTCAATCTCGCCCCGGGGCCGAACTGGCTGGCCTAAAGGGTCGCACCGAGCTCCTCATCCGGCTTGCCGGCGCTCTCAGTGATAAGACTGAGTACTTTGGTGCAGATGGCAGACCTGGTAATATGATCGGTATGGAACAAGCGCTGCATGGTTTAAAAGCGTATTTCTCTGACAATGGCGTTTTAGACCACCTGCTTTCACACCCTTCAACACAGGCGTCTTCCATGTTAATTGTGCCGTTGCCGGTCCTATGGAACGTCTTAATGAATGGTTTAGCTCCTATCTGGCCCCCATCACGAACAGCCTTAAATGGCGTATCCCTTGGAGATGCATGGCCTTGCCAAGCTATGCCCAATCCTGGTGCCGCATCCTGGGAATCGATCTTGCCGTTCCACAAGCTCACCCAATGGCTCACATACTCTCTCATGCAGCCAATGCAATCGCTCCTGAACATGCACTTCGCTGGTACTGAATTACTTACTGGTTTGCCAGAGTACCGTAACGGCGGGCTGTTTGTAGATGTTGGTGTACTGAATTTGAAGAAGGATGACATGGAGCGCGGTCTCCAGAATTACGCCGATTATTGCCGCCGGACTGGCCATGACGGGGTGGAGGTAGCCCCCATGTTTGAGCCTAGCGACGATGTCGTGGTTGAATGGCGTGGCGCAACAGTCGGTCTGCTTGATTTGCTCTGTGCAGAAGTCAATAAGCATCTCAAAAATGAACTTGCTGGTAATGAGATGACTCTGCCCCAGCTCCTGGAAGCGGGAAGTTGGAAGGTGAGTTGACTGTTCTTGTTACCATGCTCCTCTGACGTTACTAATCCATCATCGGTCAGGGAGGCCGCGAAATCGCCGAGATCAACCGGCCAAACACCAAGGAGCCGCCAATCCTGATTGACAGTGACGGAACCGTATTCTAATTCGCGACAGCAACAGAGGGGCTTGGCGGGAGAAGAAACTGATCCCTACTCGGTCATTTATTACGAGCCACATGACGACGTAGGGTGGACGGAACGGTAGACACCTTTTTGCACGACGATATCCCTACAGTATAAATCAGTGAATGAATACTTTTGCCCCGAGATTAGTTATATGAATAGATGGTCCGCGAAAGGGCTCTTTGACCAAAGGTCTATTTTCATCGAGTTTGTATATTTCTTCTTTTGATTTCCAAAGGCCCTTTCAAAATAGGATGGGGATGCGCTGTGTTTTTGAAAACTCTAATGTACAAGCCATATCTTCTCGGGAGATGAATCTAACCCCGCCGGAGCCACCACATTCTCCCCCAAAGCCTCTAGATATCCATTTTTGTACATGAAATGCATAAAAGTTACATGTTCGTCCACCATATCGAACAGCATCCACCACACTAGCTCTTTGTCTTGTACTTTTTCTCAAATTCCTCACGCTCCTGCTGCTTGCGGGTATCCTCCAGCTTGCGCATCAGCTCCTTTCGCTTCCTCTCAGCCTTTTCCTCGTCGGTGCCGCTATACGTTCCCGTGTAATTTGTGATTTGGTCAGACATGCCCTTCTTCATGTCGTTGAGGCTGGATTCGAGACGTTCTCGGAGACCAGGCTCGGGGGTGTTGGCGGCACGGGGAGCCTCGTACGTGGTTTTCTGGGGGGCGGTGGATGAGGCGGTAGGGTGGGGGGGTAGGCCGACGGTTCGTCGGACGAGGGCGTTGTTGAGGACGATGGCGGTGATGAGGGTGGATGCGCCGAGGGCAACAGTCATGAGGTTGACGGCGGCGGAGAGGAATGTGGTACCGATGAAGCCGACGGCGCCGAAGACGTAGGTCATTGTTTTGAGCATCTTCTTTTGCGATTCGGGGGTGTGCTTGGCATTGATCTGTACGGGCATTAATTAGCTGGTGGACCGGGGGAGGGGGGAACTTGGAGGATAGCAAGTGTGGAAACGTACGGCTAGGGCGCCGACCATGAGAGCGGTACCGGCGGCAGGGAGGATGAAGTATGGGTCGGTGGCCGTCAGGTCGGTGAACCAGAGGTATCCGGCGGTCTCCATGGCCGGCACGGGAACATTTGCCATGCCGCTGACGATGCGGAACAGTCCAAATGTGAACGGGATCTGGCCAAAGGACCACAGCATGCCCCAGTTGTTGACGCCGTACTGTTCCTTGAGCATCTTGTTCAGATACTGGCCCTTTTGGCGCATCTCGTTGTCCTGGTTTGCGAAGCCCTGCTGGACCAACTTCATGGCTTCTTGGGACCGGGGGTCCTTGCGCAGGTTCTGCATGACGGCGTTGAACTTGAGACTGCGGACCTGCGGGTAGAACATGATGCAGCGTAGGAGCACGGCCGTGGCCATGATGGAAGCCCCCCATCCGAGGCCGCTATAGATGTGGACGTGTTCGAGGGCCCATTGCATGACAGACGTGGGGCCGGTGCCGAAATCTAGACCCAGGGCTTTCAGGTATCCGATCTGTTCGGACATGTTGAGAATGTCCTGCCCGTTGACGATGTCGGAAATGGAGGAGAGGTCGACTTCGGACGCTGGGACTGCGGGCTCGGTGGGCGGCGAGGGGACGACGTTTTCGGGGGTTGGGTCTACGGGACGGCCGGCCTCGGATGTGGTTGTGGTAGTTTCCGGCTTTGAGGCCACGGGTTCTTCCTCGGGTGTCTTCTTCTTGCCGTAGCCCCAGAGTGAGAACTGCCGAGATGAGGATACGCCCCCGAGCATGATGGGCGGAGCGACATTTCGCGTCCGGAACGGTGACGTTGTCAAGCTGGACGGATTGAAGCGCGGGGATGTCCCGTATTGACGACCGTTCCCAAGTCTTTGCGAGAGGGCACTCGGGGGGTTCTAAAATCGGGGAGCCAACTCTGTCAGTATTCTAGCCGCGACGCACGCATCTTTGCGGTAGGACGAGAGAACGCATAACAAGATGCAGGGAGTGGGGAGTTTCTTACGGCCCATCTACTCTGGAGTTGTCTCCGCGCCCCCAATGATGGCGCAGAGCGCGCAATGGCTCGACTGGGAAGCATCGCGGCGATTGTGGTGACGGTGATACAGGGAATTTTAGCACTCGATGTTTCTACGGCCCTTTTGGCTGGTAGTTCGTTGGACAATTTTTTGGGGACCTTGGGCGGGTAATCGTCGGGTGTTCCTGAGCCTAGCTGGTGGTGCAAAGAATGCTCGTTATCGATAAGGACCCAGGCAAGGATTCATCTGAATATGTGACTTGAAGGTTGCAATTGGTGAATATTACAATGCTCCTCGTAAGAGGCATCTGCGGTGGTCATGTTGTGTGAGTGCAACTTGAGAGGTGTGGATGTCGCTTCTATGGAGACGGCAGGTTGTGCATTGGCAGCAGACTGGAAAGTTCGGTATGTCGGCTGGTGTTGGGCAATGAGGGGCGTATAAGACGTGCAGAGATTTACACTTTGACAACAGATGAAGTAGTAGATCGTTAAATTCGTCGGCTGTGTATAGTAATGGGCGACGAGTTATGTCAGAGAATCGTTTAATTCTTATATATCCATGTACAGAGGACCTCGGGGAACAAAGCGGCAAACACATCCATCAACTACGGAAAGGAGTTTGCTGACACCATATAGTTGGCTGACATGGCCATTGGCCTCGGAATTCATGGCCAATTTTGTGATGAGGGCTTGACGGCACTCTCGAATGAAGGGTCTATCACGATACTTTCCTGACTAGACCTATATCCCCTAAATTGTTATAATGCGATATCGGATGTTAATGCCAACTAGTAAGATGAACAAGAACTATTTCAAAATAGAGTTGAATCGTCGACATCTAAATTTGCAGTTGGTTTAATATAGTGAGGCTCGCAATCATGAGGCCAGGTCTCAGCCGGCAGATATATGTACACCATCATCTTCGACACTCCTCGTACGCCTTGACATGCCGTGCCTCTTATTAATCTCACATGAAACCAAGTGAAGCAATTGCCCTAATTTTTGCTATAACGCCGCTCGCCGGTCGTGGGTAGAAGATCCGTAGACCCAGCGATGATGTAGCCGATCATTTCCAACGCCATGAGGAACTCGGTATCTCCAAGTAATGCTTATATTGTGCATCCCTCCCCTATTCCAAGCTTGCCAAGTCATCCAACGAAGGTCCTGGTCCTCGTCGCCGCTCTCGGACCTCAATACCGGGGCCGATCGGGTGCGCCCGTCTTCGTGACATGGGAAAGACCTAGCGCATTTCGATCAGTTAAGGTCAGAAACATGACGGCACTGACTTGGTCAACGAGAGCAAAGCAGGTGTGACTTTGCGTCGTAAATGTCTCATTAGTAAACGGTTCCAGCATACCTTCGTGCCTCCCCAACCTAATCTAAAGGCAGCTTCGTGAGCAAATAGCTCTCCGAATCCCAACATCATACCATTGATAAAAGGAAGCAGCAGGTTGATAGCGGCGCCTCGTATTAATGACAAAACAGTGGGCGGCTTGTAGAGAATGACGGGAGAGCCCGAGCTCTCAGGTGAGGTTGAGAGCTCCTCGCCTGGGGAGTATTGTTCGCTGTCAGAATGCATAGTGATGCCAGACTCGGCGAGGTGACTTGATGGATCTTCCGAGGCCATTGTAGGCAGTTGACCTCGTCTATATCAGGGGTAGACTCTCTTTGTACGTGCGGACGGTGGACAATGAAATCGTGGGCAGCAGCAACTCGGTGCTGTTGGGGTACGCCTCGCAGGTCGGAAGTGCGCGATCTCGTCTACGAGTGCCGGACTACGGAGTACGGTGTAGAGAGAACTGTTGAGTGACTAAGCAGAGGAGCGGCGCTCGGTGCAGCCTGGCAACTGGCAGGTGGCCAGGCGGGCATGTGTGTGAGCAAATGTGGGGTCGCGCCACTTGGCATGGGCTTCTGGGGAGCTTCCAGCTTCCACGCGGGACAAGGCCAGAGTCATGACGAGGGTCCCGTTGCCTGCCGCCCATTGACAAACAGCTCAGTTCTATCACCTTCCATCATCCTCATACGTCTCTTTATCTCACAGGACAGCCTTTGCTACCAAAATATCGACCAGTTGTGCTCTAACCCACGTATTCGTCAGAAACTGCATCGCAAGATAATTTCACCTCTTCGACTTCTGTCTGTTCAGTTGCCCCGCGCTCTGCGCACGTCATTATACCATGGCTGACAACCATGACACTCCCAACCGGGAGAAGCTTGTGCAAGACTTTGCAAACATGTGCAACTGCAGTCCGGAGCAGGTATGGTATCTACAGCGGGTAATCTTGTCGCTGTCAAGAATCGTGACCTAACATCTTTGTCAGGCAACGCAGTACCTTGATGCCAATCAATGGGATCTTATTGCCGCTTGTAACAGCTTTTTCCAGGACGATGACGAAGCAAGGATGCAAAGCGGATCGGGCGATTCAAGGCCTGAGTCCGCGTATTCTGGGCCTCGTACGCTCGACGGGCGACCTGCTCCCGCCGCCGCTTCGTCTAGCAGAGGAGGTCCTCAGACGACGTCACAACCCAAGAGGAAAGGCATTGCGACGTTAGGGTCTCTTGGTAGCGGTGCCCATGCCCACGATGACGAGGGAGACGATGATGACGACTACGAGGACGACGATGATGAGGGCCGTGGCAATCTTTTTGCTGGCGGCGAGAAATCTGGACTTGCCGTACAGGACCCGCACCAAGAAGGTAGCCAAAGAAAAATCATCAGTGATATTCTGGCCAAGGCGGCGAAAGCGTGAGTTGACTGTGCTGTCGAGGAATGGAAGAAGTACACGTGGCTAACTATATGCTGCAGCAATGCATCCCGCCCCGATCAGTCTGTGGACGAACCTGGTCCGTCTGGTCCATCGCGCTTCCGCGGTGCTGGCGTCACACTAGGCGGCGAGGGCGTTGAAAGCCGCAGGATTCCTGGTCCTCTGGGCGCTGCTCCTACATCCAGTGCCGAGCCTGAGGAGCGCATTCTACACATCTGGCAGAACGGTTTCAGCATTGATGATGGGGAACTTCGACGATTTGACGACCCAGCCAATCAAGCGGATTTGCAAATGATAAAATCAGGCCGCGCTCCGCTACACTTAATGAATGTCCAACATGATCAGAGAGTCGACGTCAAGCTGCATCGGCACGAGACCCCCTACAAGCCACCGCCTAAGAAGTATAAGCCTTTCTCTGGAACAGGTCAGCGTCTGGGAAGTCCTGTACCTGGCGTTGGTACTCCCGCTCCGCCAGCTGCTTCCACAACCACAGCACCAGCCTCATCGGCATCAGCATCGGCAAACCGGGAGCCATCCATCGACTCTTCACAGCCTACCGTCCTGATCAGAATTCAGATGCCAGACGGAACGCGACTCCCAGCTCGCTTTAATACCACCAATACTGTGGGTGATGTCTATGGATTTGTCCAGGGGGCGTCGCCAGAGACTAGAACTCGGTCGTGGGTCCTCGCAACGACCTTCCCGAACAAGGAGCATACTGATAAAGACTTGGTATTGGGTGATATGGCGGAATTCAAAAAGGGCGGGACGGCTGTTGTCAAATGGACTTAGAGTAATGATTATAGATACTTTCCGACCCCGCAATATGTACTGAGTAAAAGAAAAAGAGGAACAGAACTGAGGGGCGGCTCATACAGCTGCCTACATCGGTAGATATGGAACATGCAAATCAATATAGGGCGAAAGAGCTGCCCACAATAAAGTCTTCCTGATCTCGAACGAGAATCAAGGCCATTAAAAATTTGTACCTCTTTATAAATATGACTTTCAATATTTCGCGTCAAATCACCCTTCGCCCGTGTGAACAAACCAATTGGTATCATCGCTCCAAAACTCCAAACTGAACTCTGGTATCGCTTCTCATGCGTATTTTAATAGAATTTCTTGGCCTCAGCAATTTCTCCTTCTCTATGACGACGCAGGGGGCACGACCGTCGCAGTTATGGCGTGTGGAGCCGGGCCATCCAGAAATTTGAAATGCTCAATCGCAATCTGACAGTTCAGCATTGCCGCGTTGAATCTGGCCTCGCCCGGAGGAAGCACCACCATGAGATATGTATTCGTGGTGAATTTCAAAATGAACAAGTTGAAGCGCGTGCCCGCTTTATGCTCCATGCGAATAAATTGCTCTGCATTCCTAGGCGTTCCCGTAAAGCGCGAAATGCTCTGCTTAAAGTGCTTCATGATGTTCGACATGCGCTCCAGTCTGTCCTCTGTCGGATTCCGGCGTCCCTCGGTCGACGTCCACGACGAGACTGCGAGGAAGGACGTCCGCTCAAACAGCAGCAACTCCTCCGCCTCGATTGCCACGCCTAGATTGGCGAGGTTGCGCTCAATGACGGCCAGATTGGGCACCAGGTCGTGGATGATGGACGCCCAGGCCTTGTACAAGCTCTGGTCCCAGATGGATGTCGCAAAGGGCGTAAGTTCAACAGTGCTCGTGTCTCCGCCGACAGAGTTGATGTACTCGGCGGTCTTTTGCTTGACGGTGCGCACGCGCTCGTCATAGACGGTTTCGCGGGCGGTAGGGACAACAAGGTCCATTTTGTGTATGAGGATGTAGATTTTGGCGGCGGGCGAGTATTGAAGGAGGGCGGACAGGATGGACACGTAGGTTGCCAGGTCGCGGTCTACGTCGCGCGATTCAATGTCGAAAACGTAGATGAGGACGCCGACGTTGGAGAAGACGTGGACGCGTTGTTGCGAGAGGTAGTTCTCCATGAAGGCTTCTTGGCCGCCGCAGTCCCAGAGATTGAGGGTGAGGTTGCCGAGGAATTTTACGTGGGAGAGATCGATGTCGATGGTAGCGCCGCTGTTGGAGAGGTAAATTTCGATTTAGTTACTGAGTTAAGGGGCTAGAGGGGGGTGAGGAGGAGCGGAGATAGAGCTTACAGTCGTCGAGTATCTCGGGCAATGTAGTTGCTGAAGATGATGCTCCTCATGGAGGACTTGCCAGATCCAGATTTGCCCATCAGGAGAACCTTCTTTTTCTTGGGCTTCTTGACTTCATTGCGGACTTCGGATGGACCCGCATCAGCGGGAGGGTGGTCCGGATGAGACGTCATGGTGTTAGGTGTAGATTGGTGCTGCAGTGTGCGGCTGTTTGGCGAGATGTGGTTTGGTGTTGGTGGAATCGAGGTCGGGAAGCGGCAGAATCGGTGCTAGACTAGGTGGGATAAACGTGGGGTAGCTTAGGCGGTGAGCAGGGGAGGGGCTGAGGAGGATACTGCTGTGAATTGCTCGGCGCGGCTTGCTTTTTCTGCTACATGCGCTCACACCCTACTAGTTATTAAACTTTATCTTATAATATAATTTTATATTAGGTAAATATATTTTATTATAGATCTTTTACTTAAGCACTTAAATATATCAAGAAGAGTTTCAAGATAATGAATAACCTCCCTACCTAGGTACCTACCTAGGTATGTAATACAGGGATAAGCACACCTAGCAAAAAGATAAAGCCCGCCGAGAAATTCACATACTATTGCCGGAGTTGATATTGGGACAAGCTATATATAATTCACTGAAACCGTCAAAGTAATGGATGCATATTTCCAAAAGAAAAACATATTCCTTTAGATTTTAACTCGGGCTATCCGCACGGCTTTTCTAAGCCACGAGAAGGTCGTGAAGTGTTCCATCTGTGCGGGAGGACTCGTCGATTAAATAATGACTGCCTGGCTCCATGAAGAGTAATGCACAGCTAGATTACAACGATACAGACTGTTGCTATTCTTTAAATAATACAAGGAGAACGCCAATTTTTAGTTGCAGATTTCACTGTGGTTATAGAATTCCTTGGCATTGACCCCAAGCATAGACCGTAGGCGTCACATGCGGAGTACAGGGTAGTTAGAGGCACCTAGGTGGTTACACGTGCTGACTCCTACGCGAGACGATAACTTTGCAACATGATGTCTGGCATTTATTCGATTCATGTTTCCCCTCTTCAGGGCTTGGCCACATTCAGGTGCCTAGGTACATAAGCGCCTATCTACTTAAGTACCTAGTTATTTGCTGTAAACGATTCGATGAGCTATTTTACCTTCTCTCCTCAAGTTCAACTCGACCCTTCTCCTCGTCCTCACTTTCCATAACCTTGGTAGACGACTCCTCGCTAGTCATGCCAGCAACCTTATTTTCGAAATCGCGCCCACGACGCTCAGGACCAAACATGGTGGTGAAGACGATTCCAAGGGCAATAATGGCAGTCGCGATGCCCATGACTGGTCCATACGCTTCTGCCCTGCGGCCATTGGGTGTGGTCACAAACATCTTCTCGGCAATGGCATTCACAATCTGTGCCGAAGGCGAAGAGATCATGTTGCCAAGCTGATATGTGACGCCGGGGAAAGTCGATCGGAAGGCCACAGGAGAAAGCTCGTTCAAGTGAATGGGAATCACACCCCAAGCTCCCTGGACGAAGAATTGCATGAAGAAACCAGTCGCGCTCAGTGCACGTTCCCCAGTGGGCAAAATCCAAGCTGGGATCAAAACAGCCGCCATCAGGCACGAACTGATGATGGTTCGACGACGGCCGATGAATTGCGACATGTACCCCAAGATAGTACCGCCGACACACGCACCAGCCTTCATCAGAATCGAGGCTCTCGAGGCCCCAGCATTGTCCAATTGTTTCTGAGTGAGCATGAAGGTGGTGTATGAATCTTGCGAAGTGTGGGAAAAGTAGTTGAACCACGTCATCAGAATGATACAGTATACACACATCTTCCACTCTTGCTTGAGCATCTTGACGGTGTCATGCCAGAATGCACCAGGGCTGGCTGCCTTCTTACCATTCTTCTTGGCTTCCAAGAACTGCTGCGACTCAGGAAACAGAATACGGACGAGGCCGACGGCAATGGAAAACCCGGCTATACGCAAAGCACAGACATCAAGTTAACACCCAAAGAACCTTTAAAGACTGAAGTATTGTCACGCATCATTACTTACCAGCGATCCAGAAGACAATCTTCCATGTATCTGTCCCCCCGCCAACGCCAAGGTTGGCGCACGCGGCCAAGACATAGCCGAACGAATAGCCCTGCTGCAAGATGCCAGACATCAAGCCACGAGCATTAGATCTGGCCAAGAAACGATTGTCAGTGTGGCGCTTCTTATTTCAACTTCAGACGAGCACTTACGGGCATTGTTCGAGGGCCATGGCAATGGCATTTCCATAGACACCACCCATGAAGAGACCAAATAAACTTCGGACAGCTAGGAACTGCTGAAAAGTCTGGCTGTAAATTGTGGCAATTTGCAAAAGACCGAGAACAAGCATGTTCACCACCATGGGCCACTTGCGCCCCCATTTATCGCCTGCAAGACCGAAGAAGGCTGCACCAATCGACCGAAGGAGCAGCGTCAATGTGATGGCGGTGGTAATGTCAGTCTTGCTACGGCCGTAGTAATCCGCTAGCTTCTTGGTCTGAATTGATAGGGCGTGGAAGTCGAATGCGTCGGCCGTCCAAGACAAAAATCCAACCAGGAAGAAGAGCCAGTTCTTTGCGGATAGTTGAGCCATAAGACTAATGGGATTCACGAAGCGGTCGGGGTCCCTCCATTCGCAACGAGTCTCTCCGTACTCGTTGGAAAGGACCACACGTTGACGCCAAATGAACAAATCCTTGAAGGATTGTTTTGCGGTGGGAATAATACCCTTAGCCAGAGCGTCGGCGGGCTCATTCTCTCTCGGCGCCATTGCGAAAGGCGGCACAAATCAGAACGAGGGAATTCAAGGAAGCAAAATCACGGATACCTGTTGCTTGGTTGAATGGCAGCAGCGTTCTTATAGATGAGTCGCTCTGGATCCCTGTTTGGAATTGAGAGGGGTGAAGGGGAGGCATTCTGACGTGAGAGAGTTTACGAGTGTCTTGCCTATATATAGAAAGGGTTTGAAGGGGCGGGCTGATGTCCAGCATGCGCCTGTGATCTTTCTGAGACCTGGAGAATGCCGGAGAGGTTGCAATCGCACACGCCACGCGCTGCAGGGTGTCTCCAAGATGAGACCCATTGCTCTTCATGGAGTACTCCGTACATCGCAGGGGTTCTCAAAAAAAAAACACGAAAATTTGTCGGTCGTTCCCGGCGTTACATGACAGAAAGTATCGCAGGCATCTAACAGTACAACCCCAGTCTACTCCGTAACCACCCACAAGCCGCGACCCGACCGCTTCTTCGCCTTCTCTTTGTGTGTTAGCGTTGCTGACGAGGTGAGGCATCTGGGGATCCCCTTTAGCAGAAAAGGTGTGGCCTGGGATTTGATTCCATCCCTGTCTCTGGACGGAAGTCCTGATTGGGACCCGGCTAATGCTCCTGGTAGATACTGAGTCGAGGCTGAGGAAACACGGGGGGCAAGTGAAATGGAGGTGTGGACGGCAAGCTAACACTGAATTTGATATCATGCAAAAAAGCAAATCCTCCTTCGAGACAGGACACGGAGCGAATCAAGAGCCACGATTTGGCAAATATGGTGTGTGCTTCTGGAGTAATGGAAAGCTGTGATGCGGGGGACGCACCATCAGCTGAGAGCTCCATTAAGGGCAGAAGATGTGCCTTGTGGCATTCGGTCCCCCACGACTACAACCTCTTGGCCTACGCTCCCCGGAACCGGAGAGGGGATTCCGTGCCTGTTGTCTGGAATACAGGGACATTATGTGGCAAATGTCACCAACAGTGGACCGTCTGGCTTCGAGTGTTTAGAGAGAAGCAAGAGCGGAAAACGGGACGACGGCTGAGGGTTGCACCCGAAGCCGCTACCCAAATCGCGACGCTGCTTGATGCGTTGGCTCTAGTGCTCGCACTTGGGATTGATGTTTAAGCAATAAGCTTAACAACAGGCTGCCGCAGCTGGGACCCCGCCCGAGACAAAGCTTCTGCTTGACCCCGCTCGGTTCTCTTTGCGCCGACCCCTTGCAATCATGGGGTCGTGGAGATGTTGGAAGGACGCAGGCCGCAAGCACACCACCAACTACCTACAGACCCCATCTATCCTGGTGAAGAGGTGGTTGGTGGACTCGCCTGGAACGTGGCTGCGGATGGCACCGCGCCTCCATGCAGCCAGTCGCCCCGAGATTGGCCTTTAGCCATGATGATATCGTTCTGGTGGTGAGCGTCGAGCGACCCGGCATCTCGATGCGCGGCACTCTGCGCGCACCTGGATCGAGTTCTGCTGGATATCAACAGACGTCACCGAGTAAAATCTAGAGGCATGACGCCTGTCAGTGCGACCGGTTGCGACATAACCCCGTAGTTTCAATTGACATTCACATGGCGAGGTTGCAACGGACCCCGACTATGCCCAGTACGGGGCAACATGACCTTGCTCCCATGCGAGTACAAGGAGAAACAGCTAGCCAACATCTGAGCCAACCATTTGTCTCCGGTTCTAACTCCACCGAGCGTCCGTTGAAAACGGCGTTGAATAGGCGCGAGTTCTCTCGTTGGAGATCGACCTGCGTCTTGGATTCGTCGTGGTCAAAACGCTTAACGCCATCAGTCGACGCCGGACGGTAGTCTGTTGTGTAGTGCTGACTCAGTTGGTCAACCGTATATCCCTGTCAGGGCCGCCTGCAAACTGGAGAAGTGGGATTGATGAAACCATTGATGGACATGGCAGCTAACAGCCTTGGAATTGGCTCATTTTGGCCACGTTCCACCACGAAGCCCTGTCCGCTACCCCGTATACTTCCCTGCAAGCTTCCCCGTATGTGGCTTCCGCTCTGAAGAGAGGTGGAGGGACGTGTGCAGCCAGGAATCTCTCTACAATATGCCAAGATGTATGGGTAAGCTTGAAAAGGCGTTGGGGAGGCTTGCCTTTGGTTGCATGTTTCCTTTCGCCAGGGCTAGGCTAAATTCTTCTAGATGATTCACATTATGGAGTCGGACCTATTTTGTTGCTTCCTCCCGGCCCCAAGTCGACAAGGCTAAAGTTTTGAGTCTCGAACAAGCCGTGTGCAGGTGCCGGACAGGGCTTGTACATTGTTTCTTAGTACCCAGGCCATCTATTTGCCAAGAAGCATGATCCTTGGGATTCTGGCAACCTAGACTGGGTCCATTG